CCCCCTGTTACACGCTACACACCTCAGCACTCTAACCCCCCTGTTACACGCTACACACCTCAGCACTCTAACCCCCGTTACACGTTACACACCTCAGCACTCTAACCCCCCTGTTACACGCTACACACCTCAGCACTCTAACCCCCGTTACACGCTACACACCTCAGCACTCTAACCCCCCTGTTACACGTTACGCACCTCAGCACTCTAACCCCCCTGTTACATGCTACACACCTCAGCATTCTAACCCCGCTGTTACTTTGTGTGCTCTGCCACTTCATGGCTGAATTTCTGTTTTTCGTAAACACTTAAACTTTGCAATAATACGTCTTATAATTGACCATGGAATATCTAACAGGGATTAATTTTCACGAACTGATTTACAGCAAAGGTGGCATCCTATGACAGCACCACGCTTGAATTCACTGAGCTCTTCAGAATGACCCTTTCTTTCACAAATGTTTATAAATCTGACTGCATGCCTAGGTGCTTGATTTGTGTCTGAAATGCACAACTTTGCATTGAGGATTACTGACAAACACACACAAACATCAGTTGAATATATATGTTTAAATCATATTATATATTTCACAGACCGATTTGCATATTTACAAATACTGTTTGCAGCAAATTTTTCTATGGTAAATTTTCCATCCATTAAAGAAAATGTCAAACTTTCACTAAATTTCTTAATTTCTAGTGATTTGTGTGCAAAGCACGCAATACTTCTAGACACACATAAACAATAGCAACATTGCTTACATTACAGTACTGTTTACTTCCTTGGCTTTCACAGTCTGCAAGTCCAGGGTCACAGCAATTATTCTGAGTTGGTGTTTTGTGCTAACTCCAGTAGCGCTGTCCTTTCAGCGTGATGCATCAGCTCTGTGATCAGCTGGTCCAGGATCTCTCCCCCTCGCAGGAACCCCTGATCAAAACACAGGTCTGGTTCATGCAAACAGTGTAAATTCTAGAGCTTCACGACACGACATAACATAAGGAGATCACACATGCCTATTTTAGTCCCCAGAAACATCACTGAATTTCTGTTTAGCGAGCATGCTACCTAACTTCAGAGGTTTGTTTATAGCTTGTCAATTAGAGAACAAGAGAACTACAATGGTGCCAAAAAGTCTTTGGGACGCTTATTTCTGCAAAAATGTTAGAATTATTGGTTTCAAAACAAAAGTCCATTGACAAACAGACATTTTCTTTTTATTAACTGTCAATTTTTTTTTTGACCGACTCATTCAGTTCTGTTGCCAATTGTAGTCACTGGTTCTCAAAGGGATACAAAACACAAATATTTGATGTTTTATATTATGTAAAGGTGTTACTAATTAAAAGGCACCCAATGAGACTGCTTATCAATGAACTTTTTAACTCAGAACAGCTGTTTTAGAACTATAATTTAGGTTTCAATTTATTACTACTTGAAATGAATGTTTCACTTAAAAATACTGCTTGTTTCTAATGTGATGTATGTTTTGTAAACAAATGAATAAAGTAATAGTTTGCAAGATTTGTCCCAAGACTTTCTGTGAGCACTGAATATGAACCATGGATATTAACAGCAAAAAAAAGACAAACAAACCAGAATGGAATGGTGATGTTAAAGACACATTGTGCTCTGAGACATGGCCCACGAAGACTAACCTTGATGTCACGTGTCACGTGTCCTATCCTATGATCCGTCACACGGTCCTGGGTGAAGTTGTAGGTACGGATTCTCTCCGACTGAGAACGGGTTCCTATCTGAGTGGCGGGACACAAATGAGAGTTACGTCTGGGAGACAAACTTATTTAACATGCGACTGGAAAGGACAGAAGATGATCAGGATGTAAACCAGGCAAACAGGCTACCTGGTGCTTGCGTGTGGCGTCGCTTTTCTCTTGCTCTTGGTCTGTTATCCACTGGTAGATCTTGGCCCTTAACAGCCGCATGGCAGTGTCCCGATTCTGCAGCTGGGACCGAGACTCTTGGCACTCCACTTTTATCCCTGTCACAGGCAGAAGGATCCGGTCCTTCATGAGATACCACTGATCCATCGGCTATAACTCGAGTAACTAGACTGGGACGCTCTTGCCTGTTGGAACATGGACTATTCTGACAGCGCTGTCTGTTGTATTGACGCTCTGTCCTCCCGCTCCACTAGATCGAAAAGTGTCAACCTGAAGCTCCTTGGGGTCTATGTCCAGGTCTATCTAGTTAGATGAAATAAGATCCTAAAATATTCATCCCTAATACTGTTAGAACAAGAAAAAGGCAAGGAGGATACAGTACAGCGCACATCACCTTGCTTGGCTGGGGGAGGACAATAACTGTGGTTGTCCCCGTGTGGATCCTTTGCATTCTAGAAGACAGGCCAACTTGAGGGATCCTCTGAACTCGGTGAGTTCCACCCTCGTACTTCAGGAATTTGTAGGCATTCTCCCCAGAGACTCTAGCCGCTGCATGATGCAGTCCTCCTGAGTAAATAAACCAGGCAGTCACCTGTCTGCGCCATCGCACACGTTCACGGTTAATTATAACTCTGGTCAGTTTGGAAAGTCAAAAAAAAAAAAAAAAAAAAACGTACCGTAATCAGCAGGAGTGTAATTGTAGACTTCAAAATCCCAGTTTTTGTAACTTGAAAATCTACTATACATATCAAACACTTCCTCTGTGAACTGCTGGCAGATGTCACCTGCATAGGACAATGCAGAAAGTTAAGAAAAAAGAACAGAAATATATAGTTCATATGATTGTTAAATTTCTTCTTTTATTTTGTGACATTAAAGAAGCTTTAGGGCAGATTATACCCTTAATGCAGTTTCTCCTAATACCCATGAACTAGAAGGAGATCATACAGCTGAAGAAAAAACACTAGTAACCGGAGGGGGGGGGCTGCACGCAATCACGTGTCACCCACCTCCTGTCGTTCTTCCTGACACCACTTCCAGAATGACATCACTGCTGCTGTCGAGTCTGTCGCAAGGTATCATTGTCTGGATCAGCTGAACAAGTGAAGCAATGTTTATATGATCATAAATCAATGCAGTTTTACTTTTATTACATTTATATTAACGGAATTTAAAGTATGAAGAAAAGTTTGTTAGTGGGCAATTAAATGTAATTAATTGTTTGTGTGTGTGTGTATTTCCAAAACTTCTTTGATACATACAGTATTTAGCTGGATTTAGCAATTTTTACGAACTGTGACTATATTTAAACCATTCTGCAGGAGAGGTTATGTAACTTCAAAGAAACGGTGCGTATCCCTACTTCTGCTTTAAGTGCTTGAAGCCGCTTTGACATCTCAGCATGTTCGTCTTTCAGAAGCTCCAACATGTGCCGGTCTTTCTCTTCTACGCTGCCTGTATGAACGAGACGAGGTGAGAAGGGGCTGCTGATAAGCACACTCCATAAAATCAATATACAATCAATCTATACGCAGAGCTAAACATTAAACGACAGCTTTAAAAAGTGCACGGTACTTACTCTGCAAAATCGCTTCCAGCTCCTTTAAGTCATTCATTGCGCTTTCCATATTTTGAAAAGCTGTTTCTATCGGTAGGAGTTCAACCTGTCTTTTGTTCAACGCCTTTCTTTCGTACTCATTACACTGTCCATTTTGTAACTTCTGTGTAATGTGACGATATTCCTTAGTCAGACTTTGTAAATACTGTTGAACAGGCTGGTTCTTCAGTAGATCGCCGTGGCCGTTTATGCAGTATTTCCGCAAAGCAATGCCCCAAATCATAAAGGACATCGGCGGCTTACATGACGGTACCTTCAGAGCACCTTTCTGCATGTGGTGGAAGATCCTACAGGAACATGCACCACACCGCAGCAGCCGTCTGTACATTGTTTTCAATCCCTATTTCCTCTTCACTTCTCAGTTATGGTGGGGACTTTGCACGTTTACAAATGTATGAAGACATAACTTCATGAATGAAGCCCAGCACGGCATCACGCCTCACAAATAACCTTAAAGTAAATAACCCGGAAGCCGTAGCTACGTCATTGGCGTGTAGGTGGGCGAAACGCCTTCTGGGATATGCAGTAAGAATCTCCAGAAAATTACATTTTGATATCCAACCATGTGTTTACGGAACATTCCTGTTTTTATTTAACCCATTTGTGCACGTCAACACAACTGCTATTTCACAGTATATCTTCCTA